GTGGAGGATAGCACTGCTATATGGTCCGTCTCAATGAATGGCTCAAACAGAAGCCGCTCAGGTGGAACACCTGGCATTTCTATGATTCCATGTGCCTGTTGAAGTTTAACAACATTCGAAAAGTTACTCGTCTATTGATCCCTACGGATATAGACTACCAAATACGGGGTTGCAGAGAGTGTGCTCTGTACATAGCAGTTATAATCTTATCTGAATCGAGATCTAAAAGGGAGTTAGAAATCCAAATTTTGAATGGCTACGAATAAACCAAAGATTGACCATTCAGGAATACCTCTGTACTTAAAGTATGTGTTAATTGCAGCAAAAAAACCGTGAGACAAAAAGTGTACTTTCCTTGAGAAAAGTGCCAGGCGGAATCTGAGATTGGCCAGTTTGGACTGCCTTAGCGTATGCTGCCAAATCTTCAGCACAGCTACAAAACAAAGTCAAAAATAGTCATTCAAATTGGTAGCACTTGATCATTCACATCCTAGGTCAAGTAAATAAAGTTGGGCATCAAAGTACATCTCATAACTAAAAATGCATTAAAATAATGGCTTCAAAATATTGTAGCAACTTGAAGGTGAGTTTCAGACCAGACACTAAAAGTAAAAGCACGTTCCACAAGTTCTCTCAGAAACATGAGTAAAAGTGGCACATCCAATCACCTCAGTTTCGCAACACCAGTTGAGCACCCATCACCAACTGGCTTAACGCAGAGGTCGTTTGCCTTCAGTTCTTCCTTCAGTTCCATCCATACTTGATCTTCCTTCTGGAGAATCTCGTGGACTTTTCGCAGTGCTTTAGCAGCAGTGTATATACCCTGAGATGAAAGCTGACGAGTCGCAGGAGGAAATGTGTCAGTGCTATTTGCAATATTATGACATTTGGAGGTGGGTAACAATCACTTTGAATGCTGCAAAGAATCCATCGATTCCGAGCGCATCGGTATATTCATTCATGATCGTAGAAATCAATTAAAGGTATGAATAATGAGGAAGATGCTTAGTTGAACCCGCTGACTCAGAAATGAGAATGCTGAATGAAAAATAGTACATACATGGGAAATAGCGGCGCCTGTGGCCGCTTTGTCCATGCAGAGCCTTGATGCCTCTGCGGCAGATCCTGTCAAGCGCCGGATGCAATCGTGCTAGTGAACCAACAACCGTTTGCAGAGTGCCAAACTGTGGCTATTGCAGTTATCTCACGACTTCTTGTGCAGCACTCAACGACCATTGCATGAAATACAAATGTTACTAATAAATGAATGATCCTTACACAACAGGAACCTATGAAAACATCAGCACGATCCGAACCTCTTTGACTGTAAGACCAAAGTTTTGATCCATCATTCTAGTGCTTACTAAAAGTCTGGTAGGATGAAAATAGAATCCAAGAAACAGGACGTACCTGTATGACGTACTCCTGAAGCCGCTAGAAGTTCTTGCAATGTACCGTTCTCACCAATGCTACCATGGACTGAAATATAGAATCAACAGTGATTTAAGTTCAGACAAAATTGTACTTAACCAAAAATTATTCACACTGCAGCTCGATCCTACAGAAGACGAACATACCACCATAGCCTAAAATGACCACGGGCGTTAAGGTGAAGTACGTTTACATCTTAGAGTTTATGAATCAACTTTCCAGTGCATGAGAGTTCACCTGCTATGAAAACGACAGCATCGTTTTGCTTGGCTTCCTCGATAAACTTTTCCAGCGTGATCATGCTTGGGAGCTCCATATGGCCTTCATTAGACAGCAAACTGGCTTTCGCTGAACCCTGCAAATCAGACAATATCCGGTCCCTCAAAGAGGTCACCTTTGCGATTGCCTGCGACTTCAAATTTTCGACACATCCTTCCACGACTTCCTCTACAGTGTGTCGCAAGACTGCTGCATACCTGCATAATTAAAATTTCATTATGCACTCTGATTTGCACCAAGCCACGTTGCTATTATACAAAACAGCCCTTATCCAGAAATTCAACAATTAAGAGCCGCATCGCCACAATAACTAGTTATTAAATGGATATTATTGCAACTTACGGTAAAGCCCAGACCGTCTTGTCTTCTACTCTGTCGGTTCCCATTTTAGGCTTAATGCCATTGGGTTCTGCAGGAGCAAGCAGAAATGGTGAAACATCAAGCTGCACAATGCGATAAACTTTGTTATGAAACTAAAAAGAGGGAGCAATTAACGAATCATTTATGCGAAAAAACCGAGTAGAAAATCTATTTAGAGTAGCGGCACATTTCATATGAACTCTGAGCAGGTTGTCAAAAGTAACAGAGATGCAATAGCTAGTCACATACGCCAAATAGATCTATGCCACATGTGGTCAATTTATGTCCTAGGAATAAACTAGTTGAAACATAACAAAAGAACCTGGCTTAGAAAACATACATCATTCCAAGCCCGTAAGTTAAGCCAAACGTTCGTCCCACTTATCAAGGAAACTTGTCGTTCAGATGAGTCTCCCCCAAAAAGAACGAAGACCTTTTGCTTGCTTGTACATGGATCTACTTTTGCAAATGAGTTTGATAAAGACATTGACGATCCGATCGACATAGGAAGTGGGATTGTAGGATATCGTGTACATGCACGTCGAAGGAGCGTCCGAAGGATGTCAACATGTGCAAGCCCAACCTGCAAAAATCTTCTCAAGGTGAAGCTGCAATAACCAGAAGTTGCAAACTATGATTTCCTACAATTTCCTATAATTTCCTAGAATTTGATATGTCATAATCAATTCTCATCTTTGTGAAGCTTGGTCTGCTGCATTTGCACCTAAGGTGACTTTGAATGTAAAACAAAAACCTTCTCAAATATTTGCTAATGCTTGTACATGCTTCAATACGAAAAAGCATAAGCTCTACTGAAGATGCCCCTGCAGGTAGTAATTTTAGGTTCAGAAAGTGACATTCTCGCAGTGTGACTAATACACAACCATAATAGTGAAGATGCACCTCACCAGTGAGGCTTGCATGAAAAGAATGCTGGTTTGCTCCATTCCACTCATCTGCAAACATTTGATGTCAGCAGCATTTTAGTCATTCCTCGTTGGTAATGAAGATTTTCTTTGGTAAAGAAATTACCAATTTACATCCAAAAAAGATACCAGAACAAGATGTGATTCACCAGATTAATGTCTGAAAAGATGATGGTTTCCGACTGCCCTCCAACTTGTGGTAGTAACCACCCATCTACCCGAGCAATATCACGAAGATTGAGAATTCGAAATAAATCTGCTGCTCTATTGCGGATTTTGTTGATAGTTTCTTCTGAAAACCGTGGAGGAGTATGATATGAGACCTACACAAGACCAGCCTCACAAATTTAAAGCTGAAACATCAGGCATATAACTTATTATGACATCAGTTACACTACGGTTAACAGTTCTGATACTCAGCCCTTACATAACGAAGATTATTGAAACTCGGAAACGAGTATTTCAGAAATTGCAACATTGGAAAACAAGTTCTTACAGATGATCCAGCACACAGGTTTAATAAGGTCTGTTAGTGCATTGTACCTGGCGAGTAGGCAGGTATTTCCGGCGATAGTTGAAGATGGCAGTTTCATTTTCGCCATCGCTCTCGTAATCTAAACCGGAAAGTTCCACCTGCTCGGACATTTCACACGATGAATACAACGATATCTACACATAGTTTGCAAGAATCGGAGACCACATGGTCACAAAAAGATCAATCATGCACAAAGTTCAACCAATATATGAAGTTGATTATAACCTCGGTAGGGAAAAGGGCCACAGGACGAGTCTCGTTTCCAAATCCTACATCCAGTACAAGCGCAGTGAACTCTAGCGCGCCCTCTGCGAACATTTCAATGACCACTCTATCATTACCCCCCTGCAGGCACAACAGAGTTGTCGAAGAACATCAGTCAGCGAACGACTCTGAAACCTAGTTCTACCATTACACCAGCAATTCGAGCATCCGTAACAGAAAGTATGAAATCTCTGAACATGTGAATTATATATATGCACATTCATGAAAATTTGATTAGCGACATCTGATACTTTTCATATCGTGCTGGATTAATCGTTAGTTGGGCACATCGTCTCTTTATCTGCATCATGTGACCTTTCACAGGGCACCAAACTACCACCTTAATTTTTATTATCATGAAGGATTTTAAAACAATGGTGGCTTACCTTGTTGAACAATGCTTCAGCATGTTGTACTGCAGTATCCAGGCCCTCGGCAACACTAACTCCCACACTGGAGCCTGACCGCGCTGGCTTGACCTGTTACGAACTTCCAAATGCATAAGCTGGTATGAAAAATGACTGCCTGAATGTCGAATCGAGCAGAATGTAAAATCAATAAATTTTTATAAAATAAAAGCAGTTCGAACGGCCAGGCAATCAGCATTGCGTAAAAATTGGACAAATTTCATGGCAATAAAAATTCATCAAAGCAGGAATACATATTATACGTCTAGATTCACAGCGGCAATGCCGCAGCAAGTGACTGAACTGACTGTTAGCACTACAGTCTAGAAATCCCGTACTTTCTAAAGCTTGATATGGGAGCGGTTCGATTGATGAGACTCACCACAACCCGTCCGGAGTTGGCATTAATATTGTTGTCCTCAAACCAACCTCTTAATCTGTTGATGTCCACCTTTCCATTCTGTACAAGAATGACATCTGATTATTTTTTCCGTGAATCCTTGAAACTTTATGTATACGCATAAGGATTTCAGATGATCTGAATATTTACTCAATTTAGATTCTTGATTCATGAAGCAAAATGAACTTGAAGGTACAGAAGCTTACTTCAACCAGAAAAATAGGAAGAGTAGCAAACCCGTGCCATGCCATCTCTGCAGCTGCATCATACTGCAGCAAACTGGCAGTCAGCTGATCGAGTAAACTTCACTACAAACTGTGAATTATATATCATGAAGACAAGCTCATGAAAACATCAGGAAGAAAACAATAAATGTGAAAACTCACTTTATCAAATGCCACTTGAGCTGCTGCAGCACCCGTGCCTATATATGGGAGGCCAGCACTTTCAAGAAGGGCCTGAGCAGTTACAACCAGACACCATGAGCCATAATTAGTCTTGCTCTCCGACTACAAGTATTCTAAGGATTGAATTGAGGCATATTGTCTTACGTAACAGCTGACCAAATTAATTCTGCAAAAAGACATTCTTGAGTTGATACGAAGATCTACATAAGCGTCATTTCGACTTTTAAGATAAAGATCTTCGGTGGAACTTCTGGTTTCGACGTTTCCTAGATTCTTCTCTTCAAATTCTACACAACACTCCCATGTGAGTATTGCATATGTACTCTACCTGAATGCCTCCATCTTCACCGAATCGACCGTGCAGAGCAGGGAAGACAATATCGGACGTTGCTTGAAGATGCTCAAGGAACTCGGCTTGAGATTTAAAGCTTCGCGCAGTGCTATCTCAAATCAACGGGATTGCTATGTGTCATACTCCATTCATAAAATCAGTGGTAATGAAAGAAACCATAAATGCATCAAATCATGTCCAAAATACTCCCAATTGGCACACCTAGAAATTACCCCCAGATGGGTTATGATTTTATTTTTCCAGTCCTTACCTGGCAATCTTGAAATCAAAATCTTCTGGTGTATTGGAATACATCTGCAATATTCACCTTGAATATCAGTGACAAAAAATACATACATAAAACAAAAGATTACGAACAAAAATTATTTTTAAATCTTGGGATATCCTAACTAGAAAACTGGAAATAAATAACGCAATTCAAACGTCACCCACCAGCGCTGAAGGAATGCCAAAAGGCTCCAACTTCTGGTTCATATAATAACAGCTTACCGACACATCACCTCCCTGGCACATCCAATACGTTTGTTAGAGCCGATGATCGAGACCACATAAAGTAGTTTGATCATGAAGTGAACCATTTGATCATTTCCAGATAATAATTTAGTGATAAAGAAAAAACATTGTATAGTACCTCCAGGTGATCTAGTACAGAACGCGCTGAATTCAGCGAAATTCCACGCTCTTCGGAAGGCCCGCCACATACAAGAGCCACTCGTAGAGTCCCAGACCTGTTCTCATCGCCTTTAAGGCGATCTTCTTCCTTTTCTTGCACTGTTATTACACCCAGTTGCAGCTCTTTCATGCTGCTGTTGTACACAAGCAGCAGTTCGAAAATCAAGCCAAGTCGATTACAAAAAGTGTTAATTTGAACCTTGCCTGAATAATTCGCTCAGTTTCAGTTCAGTAGTTTGTGAAGAGTTCAAAAGATAGTGAAAAATTGTTGAAAAGTCTTGTCAAAACAACTGTGTAGCGGCAAATCGAGCTTGAAGATTCGAGGGAGGCAAAACAAGACTCCATTCGTCGGGCGATGTCAATCAATCTTAAAAGCAAGCGTACAGAGAGTATTTTCACAAACAAACACCGATTTACGATTCCCGACCAAAGCATTGAAATCTGACTATCCCCTCTGTTAGATTGTTGAAAATTATTGGCCACGTAACTTACCTCATCGCGGTAGCAATTCTGTTCCATGGCGAGCTACGTTCCGAAGTTCTCGTCCACAATTGCCATCTCAGCGAACTAGCAGTCGAGCCGTAGAAACTACATGCTCTAGCTGAATGGCACGAAATCGGACCACCAGATTGCAAATGATGGCAATATGAGCCACTTCTCAGCCTACCAATGGCACGACAATCACCATCGCTGGAGGGGACGCAGGTGGTCGAGAATTGCAACAAACGCGCCATAGTAGACTCGAAGTTACTACCAGAGACAGCAATTAATTTCCGAGGACAGGAGTCTCATAGCTTCCGCAACATGAAAGTGTCTTTCAGCAAACGAACATGACCAATTCCATGCCCGCAACCACCTCGTCCACGACGCACGCACGCAAGTGACCTCCCAACAAGATCAGCTAAATCGGTAAATCCCTAACAGCGACACCAATTACGGAGACGAAAGAAAATTCAGAGTCGTTTCGAGATGCCGCATTCCACAGGTCTCAGTCACTCGGGGCGCTCTTCCTCACATTGCAGGAACCGAAATCCCTGCACAATTAAATACACTTCAGTATCTACGCAGCAGATTACAATTATACTCGTATTGTGATGAGACTGAGTAGAAGGATTTTCCAGACCTCAGAAACCACGCCACGTCTTAAATATCACGATTCATTGCCGCTCCATGCGATCGATTCGTCCAAGCTCACAGGAATTTCGGATAACGTTGAAAATCCTTGTCGTGATCGCTGTGCGGCCACTGTCTGAGCGTCCCTGCTCTAGGTCGGCAAGGAAATCGACAGCGGCAGGATGTCACGAAATCGACAACGAAGGGATGCGATGGGTCGATGGCAATCACAACCTGCCTGCATGCATCCAAGGCGATGGCCTCTTAACCAGGACGTAGAACGACGCCCACACGCTTTCACCAGCTGCTCGCTTACACAAACAAAACATTACACATTAAAAAAACACAAGTGACAAGATGACAACAAATAGAAAACAAGGCACAGAAACTGTCAAAACAGCGACAGTAGTAGAATCCATTGTTATGTGTGAAGCTTGTTCGACACGTGCTTCTGCACATCACTTTTTCCACTTTTCTGACAACTTTCTTTTTCAGCTCCTTTTAGGAACTATTCTAAATTCTTTTCAGTGATTCTGTTTGAAAAGCGCTTGCTAGGAAATTGCAAAGGGCTCACATGTGTGTACTCTTCTCCATTCACAAGAATGTGTCTTGTGTGTTCTTAAGAAAGTTTCTTGAAGTAGAAGCATCATACAAGGTTAGTATATGAAGTATCTAAATATTGATGATTACATTGTATTATGATTTAGGATAATAAAAATTTATTCAATTTTGAATTAGGTTTATTATATATCATATCTATAAATATTTTTTCAACCAATTTAAAATACATGTATTATACATTAAATTTGTGCATTGTAATATTTATTTTAAAAATTAGTTTATAACAAATGATTATATAAAGAGAGAAAAAAAAATTAGGAGTATTTTTCTTGTAAATTATAATATTTTATGTTTATTTTATATTAAAAAAAAAAGAACATTGAAATTTTTATTTTAAAGAAAAAAAGTATATATTTACAAAAATATCAAACAGCTTTTATAATAAAGAAATGATAAAAAATTAAAATTGTTGATTAATCTAGTGATATTTATTATTAAAAGAATATTTTAAATTTAACTACTTCAAATAAAAAATTGATTATATTCATATTTATAATTTAGAATAAATAATGTCATTATAACTATCTATTAAATTATTAAATAATAAGAATAAAATCATTAAAAAATTATATATAATTTATAATTCAATTTAAAAAAACTAACTATTTATTTGATAGTTTGAAATATATCCAATCTAATTAAAGTAATGTCACACGTTAATATATTTATTTTCATAATTATCTATATGATTAAGTAGAAATAGATTAAAATAAATTAATTTCATGATATCTTCTAAAGAAGCTTTTTAAAAGCTTTATAGATGCTTGTAAAATGGATAGAAATTGATTTCTGTAGGACATTGATTAGATATTGATAAAATTGATTAATCATCCATCAAGTAGTCAATTCAGGAGGTAGGATGAATGATTGAGTCAAAAAAAGCGGTTACGTAAGAAATGTTGGTTGGAATTTATGTTCTAGGGTAAATATAAATTAGTTGAAGAAGAAGTAGAGGAGGCCAGACCATGATAGTCATGAGCCGGGATAAGCTTGGTACTACCTCTTATTTTTATTTTCTCTATGGAAGAAGGGTAATGGATAGATTTTGAATAATGTGAAGTAAAATTTCATAATAAAAAAGAGAGATATGATTTATATGAGGTCAAATGAGAAATTGAATTTATTGTATGGTGAATTATAAGTGGAAAATTGAAAAGTCGAGAATTGAAGATGTTTGTGAAATATGAATATGAATGAAAAAAATATAATATATTGATTATTGAGAGTTGAGAATATTCCACAAGAAAAAGTCAATGGAGTCTAGAATTATGTGAAGCATATTACTGAAAATAACAGTTAGTTTTGGAAAATTCTAGTGATTGGATAATGGAATGTTTTATGCAATCTTTTAAGATTGTGTAGTACTACATATTGTTGTTATAAATTTAGAGAAGAGAGGAGATAGTGAATGCATAAGATGGAATTATCAATTGTAATATTTTATTTGTTAAAAGAGGAATTGTTAGAATGTGAAAGGAATTGTAGCATTCTTGGATGTTTTTACCAGATCAAAAGACAATTAATTGTGTGACCTTAACGAGTAAACTCATAGAGATAGTCTTTCCCTGTGTTTGAACTCTCCCTTATAAGTTTATTCGAGCTAGTATTTAAAGAGTAAGTAAAATGATAAATATATTTTGGTACTACTATTGCAAACCTTGAAAGACATAGTGTTTAATTGGTATAATTACCAACTTAAGGACCAATTTGTTGATTGAGAGGCATTGAAAAATATATTTTTAATCCATTTTCGACCAATTGGATTTTAAAAAGGTTTGTGTCACAAACATGTATTCATTATAATTGTTACTTAGGTGATATGAAAAGATAGAAGTAAGTAAAAATAGATTAATTTCATAATATCTTCTAAAAAAGCTTCCTAGAAGCTTCATAGATGCTGCTTTGACTTTACAAAAGTTTATACTTGATTGATAGATTACAAACTTGGTCAACAAATTAATCACTTGACACATATATTAGTAGCTTGCGGAACAAGCTAATTACGTGGCATCTAGATAGAAAACTTACTTTGAAAGTTAAGATACGTGTTGCGCAAAGTCAACACGTTTTTAGAGGTCTTATAGAACGACGCCATGTAGCTTTTAGGTAGATAGTATATATAGAGGCAAGAAAGAAGCCTTCTTCACTCTTCTCAACTCCTTCTTTGCTTCTAGTCTAATTTCAATGGTCTTTAGTTTTTTGATCTTTTGACAATAGTCATTCCAATTTCTTTCTTAATAAAAAAATTTAGTTATTTCTATTTTGTCATATTTCTTTGAAAAAAATCTCACTTGTTTATTTCTTTTTACCAAATTTTAGTCCTTAACAAATTGACAAGAGTGCACTTACAATATCACAGCTTTGTCTAATCTTGATTAAGAGTAAGTGAGCATAATTAAAAGCTCCAATGGTTAGTTATAATTCTTTTTGTAATTTTAAATATATTTTTATTAATTTTAATGCTAATATAACTAATTAATAGATTCAAATTAGTTTTTTTAGTTAATTATGACTTTGTGTCACGGACACAGAATACAGACTTAATATCTACCAAGAAGTTCAAGAAGAACTGGCAAGAACTAGATTAATCAGATGAATACAAGAACAATACCAAAGAGGTGAGCTAGAGCTCCAAGAGATGTGTTGTCGAGACTGAAGAACTCTTCAACTTCGATTCCAATATATAATCCTATTTAGGAAGCTTCTCAAGCAACTTCTACTAACTAAGAAGCTTCTAGAAGGTTCCAGAGACTTGCTTCTAGAAGGTTCTAGAAACTTATCTCTAGAAGGTTCTAAGGACTATGTCCCTAACATCTTCTACCAACTAAGAAGCTTCTAGAAGGTTCCAAAGACTTGCTTCTAGAAGGTTCTAGAAGCTTGTCTCTAGAAGGTTCTAGAAACTTGTCTCTAGAAGATTCTAGAAGGTTCTAGAAACTTGTCTCTAGAAGGTTCTAAGGACTATGTCCCTAACATCATCCCCTCCTTTAGCTTCGAGGTCTCTGAGAAGCAATGTTGTTGTCAATCAATACCAACGCAAGAAAATGAAGATCTGTCACATAACGTCTGCTATGAACTCCAATTGTTGTTCACAACGTAAGTGGTTCATCGGCCCTTAAAGCCAACGGTAGTGGTCTACTCCTTCAACTTCTGACCAAGCATGAACTTTCGTGTCTTCATTGTGAAATTGTCCTACAAATATGCCTTCTGGTTGACCATCGTAAGCAGGCTCGGACTCAAATACAATCACCAGTGATCGGTTATTTGGTATCCTCCGTCGTCGTCGTGGTGCAGGTGGTTCTTCATCTCGGGGTCGCCTTTGTGAACTAGTTGGTTGAGATAATCTGATTGGCATAGTATCTATCTCTTGGCTATCCATATCAGAAGACCAAACTATGGCTACTGAAAAAATTCTATTTTATCTTGGAGAAAATAACTACATCAACTACAAATTTTGGTGGTGCTCTCCCCTTTTCTTATATTCTTGGGTGAGTAAGCTTCAAAAAGAAGCTATTGTCGAACTGGCTTAGGTTTATGTCACGGACATACATATAATTACCTATATGAATAGATAAAAGTATGTAAAAGTAGGTTAATTGTGTAATATCTTCTAGAGAAGCTTCTTAGAAGCTTCATAGACGCTATTTTGACTTTATAGGAGTCTATAGTTGACTTTTAGGTTAGAAACTTGGTCAACAAGTTAGCCATGTGCCACGCATGTTGGAAGCTTAAAGAACAAGCTAACTACGTGGTCCATCCATAGAAAACTTGCCTTGCAAGCAAAGGCATGTGGCCTAGAAAGTCAACATATATTGGAGGTCTTATAGAACATCGCCACGTGGCTTCTAGTTAGATAGTATATATAGAGGCAAGAGTGAAGCCCTCTTCACTCTTGTCAACTCCTTTCTTGCTTCTAGTCTAGTTTCAAGGGTCTCTAGTTTTCTTGTATTTTGGCAATAGCCATTCCAGTTTCTTTCTTAATATACATATTTCTATTTTGTCCTATTTCTTTTTGAGAAAAGTCTCACTTACTCTTTAGCTTTCATCGAGTTCTTGTCCCTGACAGATTGACAAGAGTACATTTACAATATCAGAGCTTTGTCTTTTCTTGATTAAGAGTGGATTACCCCTTTTTCTTGATAAGACATAAGCGCATTAGAAGTTGCGGATTACCCTCTTTTAAACTGATATTGTTCTTAGTATTTTCTTTGTTATCAATTCCTCTCTTCTATTTGTTTTGAGTGTTGTTAGACATCTTCTCTTTTCTAAGTGCTACTATGGCAGAGCTTGTTGAAATGAAGAGTGCAATGGCACAGATGCAAGAACAATTGAGGGAGTTAATGCTTGCGATGCATCAACTCAATTTACCACCACAAGGAGCAACAAGAATGGTAGGAAGTGAAGATATAGAGATGATTGGGGCTGCTTCAACATCTGCACCAAACCATGTCCCTTCTCCCAGAATGGAACACCCTTCGAGTGTTAGAGAACCGAGAGTTGCCTTGCCCGAGAAGTTTGATGGTACCAGATCCAAGTTTCGAGGATTCATCAATCAGGTCCAACTAGTGATTGAACTTCAACCCCAGAGCTATCCAACTCCAGGGTCACAAGTAAGATTCATTGGTACACTTCTTTCAGGTTCAACATTGTCATGGTTTTCATCTTTTCTTGAACGACGAGATCCAATATTGGATAATCTGGAGGCTTTTTTGGCGGAGTTTCGATCCATGTTTGGA